TTCCTTATTCCCCATAATCTCCACCATTCATTGCTTGCAAACTCTACTTGTCCATCATTATTCACTTAAATACATTTCCATAAACTTCTTGTGTACAATTGTAGGTGGATTATTACTCATTTATATTTGGTTAGAAATTCATGATGACTCTTTGACGTTCATTGGACATCTCATGCCATAACTTATACGTGGAGATCTTGTAGATCTCTCTTTGCAAGCAAGTTGATAACTTACAAGCAAGTTGTGTAGAAATTAATTGAAAGCATCACATTATGTCATGAGATTTGATTGTGTTGTTGCTAAAATGAAGTTTTATTATTTCTCTTTCATTTTATATTATTCAAGTCATGACTTAATTAAGTCAAACGAGCTTCAATCTCAAGCTTAACTTAAGCCCAGTTTGAATCATTCAAACTCAAGTGCATATCAATGTCATTTCTCATTAAAACCTTGCTTGCAAATATGCTTCAAGTTATGTTGAATTCCATAAGTCCTCTATTTGATTGTTGATGTTCATTTGAACAATTCAAAGTTTTAATAGCATTTGTATTCTTTTTATTTGATTTAAACATTTAACATTCAAAATCCGGGTCTTTGTAGTCAAATTGCAAGTTCTACTTCATATCCAAGATGAGTTCAAGTTCTAGTTCTTTATTCAACTCATTTGAGTTCAAGTAGTCCCCTGCTGTCTTGTAGAGTTCAAGTCTGAATTCAAACCGTGTTCATGTCCATTATGTTTTATTCCAATCAAGTCCAAGTATAGTTCACCATGTCATATTCAAGTCCAAATTCAAGTAGTTTCATTAAGTTCAAGCTATTTTTAATCAAGTTTGATTTAAATTTGAATTAAGCCTTTTATTCAAGTTTTCCCTTAGTTCATTAATGTCTTTTTAAGTTCAATGAAGTCCAAATGCGGTCGCACATTTACCCAAAATGTTGGCAGCCTCCCAGCGTCTCCCCTGTTTAGGGGAAAACTACGGCAAACTGGGCCTTTCCCACCACGCTAAGAAAAGTGTGTATGGTAGGTGTCCTCGAAATGAGGACACCACGGCCGTATTTTTTTTATCCCCCACCACACTAAGAAAAGAGTGTATGGGTCTTCGGTACTTGTTGTAAAGGAAAAGCTGTTATTTCCCTGTAAGTTAGTACTTATTGGTATCCCAACTTCATCGTACGCATCACATCGGGTTCTCTTCCCACCACGCTAAGAAAAGCGTATATAGTGCAGCTCTAAAATGTGCTTAGGTTTTTTTTTTTAATTATTATAAAAAGGAATCACTGGCTCTTAAGCTTTATTTTGCTTTCTAATGTAGCTCTTATGAGCAATAGCGAGCTGGAGGATCCTTATAAGGACATTGTAACATCTTTTTTGGATATTAACGCGTAGTCCCCTCCGAGAATTTTAATATAAATAAATATATATATATATATATAGGTTAAAACCCACAGAGGGGCCTACGCGTTAATATAAAAAAAAACGGTTACAAAGTCCTTAATAGGAACCTTCAGCTCTCTAATGCTCACAAGAGCTACAAAATCAAAAGAAAAAAAACCTCTGAGCTGATGGTTCCTAGTTCTAATAGTTACAAAAAAACCTAATAACAATCTAGGGCTGCAAGACGACAGCACCCAAAAAAGGAAGAGCATGAGATAATTAGTGAACCCAGTCTTCCTGTCAAAAATGTGGTTGGAACCACAATTACCCAAATATTTGTGCAGAAACAAGAACACGAACGTCGAACAAATCCAATCCTTAAATCTGTAAAAAAAGATACTACAAAAAAAGCAAAGAACCTTAAAATGCTGTTGGAAATAGTAATAAACCACATAAAGTTTTTTGCACTTCTGAGAAAGGAACATAGAAAATTCACCCTCGTTATCAGAACCAACATATATAAAAAAACCAACCATTTGCAACTCCACCTGAAGCAATTTAACCATAGTCCAGCTGCAAATACTATACGAAAACTTCTAGGTATTGGCAAAGCAGGTTTTAGCTCTCGAATCCCCACATCAGAATATCAAGTGAGCTAAAAGAGTGTTAAGAACCAGAATACCATCACGATTGATAATAAACATACTATGCAAGCGACTGTCCAACACACACAAGGGAAACAAACTAGCATAATTAACCTCAATGTAACGGCTCTCAATAACCTTGAGATAAGACTTAACTTTCATAACCCGACAACAATTGATGAAAATATTAAAGTTGCCATTCAAACAACCTAAGTTGGTATGCATCAACCCCAAGGATTGAAACCCACCATTCTTAGAAGGAAAAAAAATAGAAGAAGCCAGCATGTTTAGTGACATAGGACACAAGCAGAATCCAAAAGCCAGCGAAAGTAGAGAACTAAATAGAATACTTCCAGTCCCACGAATTAACCAAAACAGAAACAATAGGAAATGAAAAAAATAGTAAAATCAAACATGTCTAATATAGGGAAGAGCCGTTTTATCAAGGGTAATCATACCTTTCAAAATCAAATTTAAATTACTAATATTCAATTCCTGATACCTATCAATATGGCAACCCAAATTTGCCAACCAGTCAGCACAAGCATTAGCTTCACAGAAACTATGAGAAATAGAGTAATTGATAGTAGAAAGAGACTTTTTTATTTTCCTAATCAAATAAAAATTTTGAGGATTACCCAACACTTGATTGTTAATAATTTGAACCACAAGTTGAGCATCCATCTCAATCCAAACATTAACAAAACCCAACTTATTACAAATATCAATGCCATAAGATAAACTAGTAAGTTCACAGTGATGACAGAACAAGGCTACAAAGGGCCAGCAAAAGCAGCTAAAACCTTACCCTGGTGATCCCGGATAATACCTCCAGTGCCAGCACAAGAGTTTCTCACAGACCCGTCAGAATTCAATTTAACAAAAGGTAAAGTGGGTTTCCTCCAAATTACAATCCTGTCAAAGCCCCTGTTTAACTCCTCACCCATAGGGATACCAAGCAAAGCAGCAAAATTACGAGAATTACTAAAAAATTTTAACCGAAATCAAATTACAAGAAAACAAATACATAATTTTATGATTGATATTAGAGATAATTTGATTCGCATCCATTTTAATATCACTATGTTTAGCTTCATTTCTGGCTTTCCAAATGAACCATAAAATAAGAACAGACACTAAGTTTAATATGTAACCTTTAGAGGTATTTATCCACCCTTTTAATAAGGCAGGAAGATCATTGGAACTGTCCACAGAATTAAGATTAGCCAAGTTAATGAAATGATACCAAACCTTATAAGCAATTTCCCCATTCACAAAAGATGATTCACACTTTCAATGGTAGAACAACATTGGCATTTGGAGGGGAAACTAAAACCTTTTTTCTGAATTAAATCATCCACATGAATAAAACCTTTATGGCATCTCCAAGCTAAAATGGAATACGAAACTGGAATATTATTATGCCATATAGCAGAAAAAGAAGAGAGTAATTATACTTAGCTCTGTAAGTATCCCAAACCTTTTTCATTTGAAAATTACTCGAAGATGAAAGAGAAAAGAGGATTTTTTCCTTGCAAAGCAAATCTAAAGGAATCAGAATCATGTCAACTATATTGGAAGGAATAAGCTCTAACGGTTTAGTAACATTCCAACAACCATTAGCAATAATATTAGAAACCTTGACATTATCAATAGAAGTTGTATTTAAATAATTATCAATAGAATAGGGCCCTAGCCAACTATCTTGACAAAAGAAAACGTTACCTTTGCCAATACCCCATTGAATGAATTGATCGGCCTTCCACTTAATTTTGTAAAGCCTTTTCCAGGTTAAAGTGTCAGAAGCTTTATAAACACCAAGTAAAGGATGAGAATCTTTGTAATATTTAGCATTCATATAATGAGCCCATAAACTCACCTTTGATTTAAAGGAAAACTAAAGTTTGTGAGAGAAAGCTTGCACCATGTCGGAAAGGTTTTTGCAGCCTAAACCACCTTCGTTATAAATGCCATAAATGTTGTTCCAAGAGGCCCAACAAATACCATTACTATTAAACTTGGAGCCCCAAAAGAATTTGTTTATCATTCTCTCAATTCTAAGACAAATGGTGGCATTCGGTAGAAGGGTATGAAGTAAGTAAATAGGAATAGAGTTCAAAACAGATTTAGTAAGAATTAATCTACCCCCAAAAGACAGAAAATTAGAAGACCAGTGGGTTAATTTTTTTTGGAAGCTAGTAAAAATAACTTCAAAAAGGTGACTTCTCTTTTTACCTTTAAATATAAGAGTACCAAATACTTAATAGGCAAAGTTTTAGATTGAAAGTCGCAAATTCTTTGAATAGCAGTAATTCTATCTCTATTTATAGACTTACCAACAATAAAACTGCTTTTATCCTTATTAATAGCCAAACCACTAGAAGCATGAAACTGTAAGAGAAAATTGCTCAAAATTTTAATATTATTAATCAAACCATTAGAAAAAAGAATGAAATCATCAGCAAAACTAAGGAGAGAAATCAGGATGCCTCTGATAGTATAAAAAAAATGCTTAGGAAACCTTAGGTATAAATCTTAAATACCCCTAGAGAGGTATTCCAAGCAATAATGAAAAGAGCGGGAGAAATATTATCACCTTGTCTTAGACCTTTAGAAGACTTGAAAAAACCATGATTTTTACCATTAATGATCACAGAAAAATAATAATTATCAATACCAATCTTAATAAGCTTAATGAAACATTCAGTAAAGCCAAATAAAGAGAGCACATTATAAAGGAAATTCCAGTTAAGATTATCATAAGCTTTAGAAATGTCCAATTTCAAAATAATATTACCACCTTTAACCTTGGTATTAATATCATGTGCAAGCTCTTGGGTCAAAAGAACTTTATAGAAAATACTCCTACCTTTAACAAACCCAGTTTGATTACTAGAAATAATTCTAGGAAGAATACTTTCCAATCTCTTGGAAATAATCTTAGAAATGAGTTTGTTAAAAAAAGAGCAAAGGCTAATAGGTCAAAATTCATTCCACTTATTATCCCCAGAAGTTTTAGGAATGAGCACAATGTTAGTAGAAGTGAAAATTTTCGGATAGGGGATTCCCTTGAAAAAGTCATTGACTGCTTCAATCACATCAATTTTAACAATATCCCAACACTTTTGAAAAAAATTAGTAGTATAGCCATCCGGACCAGCAATCGAATTGCCATTCAAATCATTAACATCATTGTAAACTTCCAACTCATAGGAGAGATGACAAAGGAAGTTATTATCAATATCATTAATAATATAAGGGATGACTTGAGGATTAACTAAAGGAACATTGCTAAAGTGATCATTGAAATTATTCTTAAAATAATCCACACCAGACTTACAAATTAACTCCTCAGACTCATTAGTAGAAGCATCACTATTAACAATTTTATGAATGTGATTCTTAGTTCTATTACGATTGGCCATGGCATGAAAAAACTTAGTATTCCTATCCCCTTCAATAGTAAATTTAACATTAGCTTTTTGTTTCCAGAAAGTTTCCTCCTGGTCCTGAAGTTGAACAAGAGAATCCTTCGCACAATTAAGATTATTAAGGTTTTTAATAGAAGGATTAACCAAATAGGTATTCTCCAGCTCAAGAACTTTCACTTCAGCTTCCTTAATATTAGTAAAAATATTCTTAAAACATTTTTGTTCCACCAATTTAACACATGCTTTAATCTACTTAATTTTGACCATAATCTAAACATGCCCTTAATATCATTGTTTGGATAAATAGGAGCATTCCAATTGATACTAATGACATTCTTAAAATCAACATGAGAAAGCCACATGTTTTGGAATCTAAAGGCAGCATTACCAACTTTTCTATTAGCATTAATAGATAATAGTAAAGGAGAATGATCAGACAAAGTTCTACTAAGATGTTCAACAGAAGACATGGAAAATTTAGAAAGTCAATCATTATTAAAGAGAAATCTATCAAGGCGTTGCCATAAAGTATATATATTCCAAGTAAATGGACTACCAATAAAACCTATGTCGTTCAAATTGCAGTCAGAGATCACAGTATTAAAATCATCCATAGCAACAGGGTTAGGAAGATTACCTCCCCTTCTTTCTGAGGCATTAAAGATGATATTAAAGTCACCTCCAATACACCAAGGGCCATTAATATTGCGGGCAAATTGATGGATCTGGTCCCAAAAAGGGATACGATTCCAAAAGAAGCATAGCACTTATAATAAAAAAAATCAATTTCAGAGTTAATAATTTGAGAAAAATCTAAAATAATACTCACATTGATGTTGTTATTCTACATAATTCAAATATTATTGGAGCAATTAGCAGCATATTTAGAAAAACCCAAAGTAGTAGCAGTAGAACTAAGTTTATCAAACAAAATGAGTGGCTCAATTAAAACTAAAAACATAATTTTATGCATTCTAGATAGGTTTTTAACTCTAGCAATCAACTCCTTACCCCCAATCCCCCTCACAATCCATAAAAGAGCCTTAATCATTAAGATATTTGGAAGAATTTTGAGCTCTGGTAGACCGGGGAGTAGATGGCAATGAGTTCTTAGGGTTTTTTCCTTTATTTTTACCAGCTTTAGAAAAACCATCCTCATCAAGACCTTTATGACCAACAATATTAGTAATAGAAGATGAAGCAACATCATTACTCACAATATTTTTGTTATGTAGAACATTTTGCTCACCATTGGTAGGCGGGACAAATTCCCCTTCTTCACAAACATCATTGTTCCCATCCACAATAATCCCAAATTCCCTGTTAGCTTCATCATTAGGAATAGAATTAGAATGCTTTTCAACAATATTAGTAGTAATAGGATTCAATTCCGAATGAACATCCTTAATGGTATCAGTATCATTTAACATATAATCTGTAGAGATGAAAATTTTAGGATCATTTTTGGCAACATTGTTTACAATAGTTTCATGGTTCTCCTCAATATTGGTAAAATCAACATTAGAAGTATTCTGAGGAACATGTAAAAGCAACAATATCATGAGCCGACTTATCAGACGAGGGAAGCGGTTCCACCTGCTTCGATTGATCATCCTTCCCGATATGCACATAAATTTTTTTCGGTGGATCCATGCTTCCCATTCGACTGAACAGCCATTTTTTTTTTAAGTTTGGGGTGAAGCTTAAAGCATTTAGAAGGGGCATGTCCATGACTCTTGCAATGGGAACAAAACTCCGGGACTTTCTCAAATTCGACCTTTTGCATATAGACAAAAGCTTTCGATCCAACCCATATTTCCTTAGAATGTTTTCTCGTAATATCAACTTCGACAAGAATTCTAGCCACAGAAGGCCTTGTTCGAGATGCAGTCGCCTGGTCGATTTAAAGAGGTCTCCCGAAAATGAATCCCAATGCATGTAAAACTTTCTGATTGAAAAAATGCAATTGTAAATTGGGGAAAGTGATCCAGATGGGAATGATGGGAGATTCTTCCTTAATATCGAAAAATAGCATCCATTTCAAAAATCGCATTTGACAATTAAAAATGAAATTGGATCGTCTAGCAAAGATTCTACTATAATCTAGATCATTTGAGAGTTGTATAGCAACATGTCTAGAATCCAAAAGACCAATCGACAAGAAACCCGAGAGCTTTAAGTTTGTGAAAAACATACGAATGGAATCTAGGTTAGGTCTATTCATACCAAATTTTTCGACCAAAGTAAACTGAAAGGGAGAAGACAACTTAAGAACTTCGTCATCAGTCAAAAGAATCGCCGGAACACCGTTCAAAACCGTTTGAGACAAGTTTGGAAGAACATCACTTGAAGAGGCTCGACCCTAAAGCACCTCCTTGAAAGAATGCGATCTCGGAGATGAGCTATGGTCACCCGCATCAAGATTAAAGAAACCTTTATTTTTTGATCTACTCAGATCCAGCCATGAAACCCCAAGGGTTGGAGGGCTTAGCTCAAGCCATCAGAGAACAAGCCCCCGAGGGGCAAAGAGCAGATGAACGAAAACAGCGCGCACAAACTCACCAAAAAGCACCAAAAATCAGGAGGAAGATCGGAGTAGAACGATCGAAAACGAAGGGAGAGAGCGGAAACCCTAAATCGCCAGAGATATATATATATATATATATATATATATATCCTTTAAATACATTTTAATCATTTATTTCATTATTTTGCAAGAGTTCAATTTGATCAACTCTACGTCAAAGAGAACATTAATGTGTTTTAAATTATTGTCAATGTATACATGGAGTTGTAACTTGATAAAATTAAATTGGATGGCAGATGAAAGAAAAAATAAAAAGACATATATGATCATCCTCTCTAAGTAAAAAAAATGTTATCAAAATATTAATAAAAGTTTACAAAATTATTCTGTATGATAATCACAAACTTACTAATATCTTCAAGGAGTTCTATAAACAAATAACCCAACTTATAAACATGCTGCACAAATTCCAACCTTTATAGCACAACTATACCCATTCAGCACGTAATTGGGTCACCTCCTCTCTCCTCGAAAACCAGCCGCTCTGGCGATTTAGGGTTTTCGCTTTTCCCCCTTTGTTTTCGGCCATTCTGATCGGATTTCTGCACAGTTTTCTAGTGTTCCTCCGCATTTTTGTTAAGCCGTGGTCGATCCTTGGCTCTTTGCCCTGCGTGGGCTTTTTTTCTAATGGCTGCTTCGCAACCCCCAAACCCTTGGGGATCTGTTGCTGGCTCTGAGCCGATCAAGAATAAAGGATTCTTTAATCTTGAGGTGGGGGATGGTTCGCCTTCCAGATCGTATTCGTTTAAGGATGTTTTCTCGGGCTCAGGTGATACCCTTCCTAATTTATCTCAATCGATGTTTAATGGTGTTCCAGCCGTTCTTTTAACTGATGAAGAAGTTCTTAAGCTGGCATCACCTTTTTAGTTCACTTTGGTTGGTAAATTTGGTCTTAACAAACCAAATCTAGACTCTATTCGTAGTTATTTCACTAACTTAAAACTTTTAGGATTTTTCTGTATCGGTCTGTTGGATTCTAGGCATGTAGCCATACAACTCTCTAATGATCTTGACTATAGTAGGATTTTATCTAGAAGATCCTACTTTATTTTCAACTATCAAATGTGAATTTTAAAATGGATGTCATTTTTTGATATCAAGGAAGAATCCCCCATAGTCCCCATCTGGATTTCTTTTCCTAATCTTCGGTTGCACTTTTTTAACCAAAAAGTTTTACAAGCTTTGGGATCTATTTTCAGGAGACCTCTACAAATAGATCAAGCTACTGCCTCACGTACAAGGCCTTCTTTGGCTAAAATTTTAGTAGATGTTGATATTACCAAAAAACATTCGAAGGATATATGGGTTGGATCGAAAGCTTACGGTTACATGCAAAATGTCGAATTCGAGAAAGTCCCTGACTTTTTCTCTCATTGCAAGATCCATGGTCATGCCCCCTCTGATTGCTTCAAACTCCACCCCGAGCTTAAAAAAATGACTGCTCCGTTGGATGGTAAGCCTGGATCCACCGATAAAATTTATGTGCCTACCAGGAAGGTTTTCGAGTCAGATCTGGTGGAATCGCTTCCGTTGACTGATAAGTCAAAAGTTGAAATTGTTGCCTCTCAAGAGAAATTACAAATTCTTAATGTTGATAATCTTACTGAGGAGGAGAATCATGAAAATATTGGAAAGAATAATGAGGCTGCTGATCCAAAAATTTACATTTCCGTTGAATCTATGCTAAATGATATTGATAATATTGAAACTGTGCATTCTGATTTACTTCCTTTGGTTACTATAGAAAAAAATTCTAACTTTATTTCTAATGATGTTTCTAACAGAGATGGTGAAACTATTGGAGATGGTAACTATGAAACTTATGAAGAAGGGGAATTTCTTCCCCCCTTCTAATGGTGAGCAAAATGTCCAAACTTATGAAAAATCTTTGAGTAATACAATGGCCCCTTCTTCTATAACTAATATTGCTCATCCTAAAAATAGTGATGTCGTGGCCTCTTCTTATATGTCTAATATTGTTAATCTGCAAAAAAATAGTGATGATGGCTATTCGAAAGTTGTCAAAAAGAAAGGGAAAATTTCTAAAAACTCTCAACCTTCTACCCCACGGTCAACCCGTGCTCAAATACTTCCAAATATCTTAATGATTCAAGCTCTCCTTTGGAATGTTAGGGGAATCAGGGGTAAGGATTCTATTGCTAGAGTTAAAAACCTGTCTAGAATGCATAGTATCATGCTCTTAGAGTTAATTGAGCCTCTTATTTCCTCTTATAAACTCTGTTCTACTGCTTCTAAATTAGGTTTTTCTATGTTTGCTGCTAATTGTTCTAACAAAATTTGGATCATGTGGAATAAAAAAATTAATGTTAATATTATTTTGGATTTCCCTCAAATTATCAACTGTGAAGTTGAATTTTTCAATTATAAATGTTATGCTTCTTTCGTCTATGCTGCTTGCTCTAAATGGAATCGTCTCCCTCTCTGGGATCAGATCCATCAAATTGCTATTAATATTAACGGCCCTCGGTGCATTGGAGGTGATTTTAATATCATCTCTAATGCCTCGGAAAGAAAAGGAGGTAATTTGCCTAACTCTATCGCTATGGAAGATTTTAATTCTATTATTTCTGACTGCTATTTGAATGATTTTGGTTTTATTGGTAGTCCTTTTACTTGGAATCATTCTAAGATTTGGCAGCACCTTGATAGATATCTTTTTAATAATGATTGTCTTTCTGCCTTCTCCATGTCTTCTATTGATCATCTTAGTAGAACTCTGTCTGATCCTTATCCTTTATTGCTTAGTATTAATGCTAATAAAAATGTTGATAATGCTGCTTTTAGATTCCAAAATATGTGGCTTTCTCATGGCGACTTCAAGAATATTATTAGTACTAATTGGAACGCTCCCATTTACCCTAACAATGATATTAAGGGCATGCTTAGATTATGGTCTAAACTTAGTAGATTAAAACATGTTTTAAATTGGTGGGAAAAAAAAGGTTTTCAAGAATGTCTTTACTAACATCAAGGAAGCTGAAATAAAAGTTCAAGAGCTTGAGAATAGTTATATGATTAATCCTTCTAATGATAATCTGAATATTATTAACAGTGCCAAGGATTCTCTTGTTCTTCTTCAGGATCAGGAGGAA